ATGTAACCATAGCTAGTGTTATTAGTCCTGGCTCCTTGTTTATGGTTTTTGTTCTGCTGGAAGGAAAAAATCCAGCTTTTTTCTCTGGTTGCCTGAAATGAACTCTTTCCATCTTCTCCTCGTTTATAAGCAGCCTCTGTAAAGGCCAGGCTTGTGGTGTCTGGTCCCAGATAAACCATTGATCGTTGCAGCTGCTGCACCTATCAGCTCTTTCTTGTCCCGCCAGTGGGTTTAGTTTGACATTCACGTTTCGTGAGTTTAAAGTTATGCTATTCTCCCTCCATTTTTTTGAATAGGGTTTATCAGTGCTGGATGAGATCTTCAAGGTTTTTTTTTTTTTTTTGAATTTAACCGTTTTGAACGCCTCCACAACATTTTTTCATGACGTGTCTGCCAAGTTCTTTGGTCTTTGTGATGCTGTTTGCTCTCAGCTGCCTTTATAATAACATTAAACCACAAAGGTTGACTTTCTTTTTTATGATTAAAGTTTGCAGTTTCCATTTGACAAAATGGAAAAAGCAACAAACAAAAGAAGGTGGATGATTCTTTCAAAGAAATGCATACATGTAACAAACTGAAGCCCAGTTGGCAGAAAGTATTTGGTAATGATATTTAATCAACTACCTTTTTTTTTTCTTTTTTAATCAGCCTCTCCAGGGGGACTAAAGCAGACAACCCCGCAAGCCAACGCACCATTGGGAGAGAGGAAGGGTCCAGTCGCTATGGCGCCTGTCAACGTAGACCCTGAGAGCAAGCCGGGCGAGTTTGTCCTAAAAAGCTTGTTTGCGAACTTCACCTTGCTCTCTGAACGCAAGATTCGCATCATCATGGCCGAGCCGCTGGTGAGTTTGGATTGATTTTTCCCATACAAGTTTGTCTCTGTTTTTTTTTTTCTTTTTCTTTTTTCTTTTCACTCAGGTTACAGAATCAACAAACATAAATCTAAGCCTTCTATCTAAGTCTCTCAAACTAACTTTTATGGAGGCATTTATTGTCTCATTTCTATGAGTAGGATGTGGTCTGTATCTTTAAATCTTTCTTCTGAAACTTGATCTAACTTGGGAAAGATGAACAAATTGTTTCCTTTTCATGATTTTGAATTTCCAAGGATGATTTGTATACTATATAACCAGGGGAAAGGAGTCGCCCAGAGCATAAATGTTTATATTTAGACAAATAACCATAGCTGGGTATCCAAAAACTGCTCAAGTAACAGTAGCACCATTTCATCATATTTTACTCAAGTAAAAGTAAAAAATTAGCCCTCTAATATATTACTAAAATAAGAGTAAAAAAGTAAGTAGACTAACTGATCATAACCTCTGATTTTAAGTTTAAAAAAGTATGTCAATTTACAAAACATAAAGTTAACAACAGGTTTTTAAATTAGATAGAAAAATAAATATAACTTTCAATAATTGAACAATAATTTCAGGTGGGAGAAGACGTAGGTTATGCCCTGTAACATGATGCAGTAAACTTTTTGCTTAAGTGAAATTAGATGTTAATCTCTTTGGTGCATTTTGTTTAAAACCAGCCTGTTCGTCATTGACTCAAGTTACTCATGATGCGTACTGTAAGGTAGACATACATTTTACTCAAGTAAAAGTAGTGATACCTCATCATTCTGTATATTAACTCAGACACGATGCAGAAAATCTAGTCCTTAAAGGTGCCTCAAAAAGTTACTCTAGTAAATGCTATTAGCTACTCCCCACCACTGGAAATAACACAGCTAATTTGTATGTTTGATGCAAATACCTCAGAAAATTTCCTTTTATATTTTTGCATACCATCATTTTGCAATTTCCTTTCATTTCCAAGAGGAAGAAGCCTTTTAATATTAAACAAGGTTACTTTACTTTTAGTTACCTTAAGTGGATTTATAGGGAGAGGGGGGTATGAAAAATAAGTTTTACTTCTTCAAACAATTTACATGAATCAGTGTCATTTTTCTTGCTGTATATACCTATAGGTTATTTGGTGGAGGGCTTTTGTTTCTATTTATGTTCAGATTAATTTAGTTTGTTTTGAAATTTTAAGTTTGGTTTGGTCACATTTTATGTAAATTTGGTCATTTGACTGTTTGAAATAATTTTTTCAGTTGATTTATTTCTTGTTGTTTGTCAAAATTCTCTGAAATAAATTCCTTTTCATTTATCCAACAAAGATGTGTACTAAAGCAAAGCTTTCGTTTTATGGACGTATATTTTTCCTTTTTTGAGGACCTATAAACAGTTAATGGTTAAAATAGTTATATGTTATTGGTTGGATTCTTGTTTTACTAAAACATATGTTTCAGTTGTGGTCTAACCAATGGGGCTGGGATGGTTTACGGTCTCATGTTGCTTCACTGACAAACTCACTAGAAGGTTAGGTGTGGATTTGGGGAACTCCAAGCTTCCTTAGATCTTTAATGAGATGTTAGAAATCTTGGAAGCTAAATGTGTGGGAGGATGCTTCAGCAGGAAAAACATCCACAGTGCAAGCCAGCCCGGGGCGCGTCGGGCGCGACCTTTCCATGGCTCTGCTTCTTTGTGTTCTGCTTTTCTTCAGAGTCGTTTCCTTGCTTCTTTTGGGTTTGACACAGCTGGTAATAGAGGTGCCCAGAAAGCTGTCTCACTGACTCAGCATAAGTCAGGACAATAACTTTTCCTAAAAATATGGAGAACAGCAGGAGGCAAGTGTCCATCAAATTAGTACCAATTTTTTTTGGGTTTTTGGAAAGCAGGAGGTGGAGATGAGAAGTTCTGCTAGCACATTAATATATTCAAAGCCATCATTACTTTTCTTTAGGGGCCTGTATGTTCTAGTTTCTTCCTCCTGTTTCCAAGTACAAATTGTCAAGATGTAGACTGTGTGTTCGAACAAAAAGAAAATATTTAGAGATTTCACTAAATCCCATTAATCCAAGGCAATTATGGTTTTTCTTTTGTCTTATTTTTTTCTTTAACTTAATATTGAATTTTTACTCCCATTCAAACTTGTCAGTTCATCACCTATATTTCTTTCATTACTGATTCTTTGTGTTTGGCTTATATTTTGTAGGAGAAGCCACTTAACAAATCCCTGCAGAGGGGAGAGGACCCACAATTTGATCAGGTTTGTCTTCCTCACAATGACCCAAACAATACATCATTTCTGTGCTACCCTAAATATTAATGATTTGTTTCCCTAACCCACCTCTGTGCAGCTGATCAGCACCATGAGCTCCCTGGCAGAGTACTGCCTGCCTTCCATCCTCAAGACTCTTTTTGACTGGTACAAGAGGCAGAACGGCCTGGAAGATGAGTCCCACGAATACAGACCCAGAGCCAACACAAAGTCCAAAAAGTCAGTGATTTAAAACAGCCTACTTAGACTTTTTATTGAATGGAAATGCAATACAATTTAACAAATTTAAAACGATGGCATAAATGATGTTACATCATTTTTTTTCTTTTTGCTCAATTTTTCCTTGTTAAGCAAAGTGGAATTGCTGATAAAAAAAAAAATGGAAATGTGGTGTCATTTTTAATCCATTTGAGCTTATTTTGAAATAGCTTGCTCCAATATAAAAAAAAAAGTTCCCCCAAATCTGAAATGTGGAGAAAACCTAAAGGTTTCGGCAAATGATTAGTTATTTTAAGCAATAATAAAAACTCTACAATTTACACAATAATAGGGATGCAAGAATAGACACGACAGTAGGTGCATTTAAGGAGAGAAGAAGAAATGAGACAACTAATGATTGTTTCTGTGACTGTGTCCCTCAGTGATGAACAACAGAAGGACTATTTACTGGAGCGGAGGGATCTGGCAATAGACTTCATCTTTTCTCTTGTGCTTATTGAAGTCCTGAAACAGGTGAGGCTCAATTTGAAGTGCAATTCATCTCTGAGAAAGTCCTGGAAGTCTTCTGAAATTAAAAAACAGTGAACTTGTATTTATAGCTACTATACAAACAGGATTTTAAGTTTTTTTGAGAAATAAAAAAGGCCTCAAGAGGCTTGAATTATGTATAGGGTTATCACATAATTTGCAAATGATGAGAACATATTAATAATCGTTTTGAAGCAGGGTTGTCCTGTTTGAACTCCAGACATTAAATCTGTGTGATATTTGATCTTTTAACTGAGATTTAACACCAAAGAGCCTTTAATAGCAGACATTTAACTCAAATAAATGAAATGAAAGCCCCAAATAGCCTAAATTTTAATCAGGGGTGCCTGTCACGGTTGTTGATGTTAAAAGATGGAGTTGCCATATTTTCCACCACTGTCTATTGGTGTTTAGAAGATCCCAGTCAAATAAAAAAAATAAAACACTGTGCTGTCGCCATTTTAAGGAAATGTAAATCCAAAAGCAAAAAGGGGTTTTCAGATGATAAAGTCACGTGTTTATCTTCTCATTCTTCTTCCTTAATTTCCTGCAGGGCTGCATAACTGTACAGGTGGTCACTTTAATTTTGACTGCAGGCAACTTATAACATAAACATACTATTTTTGTCTTATATTTTAATTCTCAGTTGATAAAATTGTTGTTTTAATTTTTTTTTATCAAGATGAGATATCCAATTTGTGTATTTGTAACTAAGAGCATAAATGCACCGATTAGAGCTTGAAGGCTGATTTCTAGTCTCTGGTTTTGGACTAAACTCAGTTAATTTCTTTTAAAGAACTATTTAGTAAAGCACCATTTGAAATTTTTTCCTAGATTTGACGTGAGCAATATTTAAGTTATATTAGGAGTGGAGGTGGTGCCTTGTAACTCTGAGAATAGTTGTTGAGAACAACTTTACTGTAATTTTAAATAAATCATTGCAATTTTGAACTGATTTAACTATATTGAATTAATAATTAGTAACGGTTAGTAATTATAATGGTTAGCATTTGAAAATAAAACAGTAGTCACTGTTTGTTAAACCTGGGAGGTACAGAACCGTGCCCTAACTTGGAGATTCAGACCGAAGGAAAACTCTGATACAAGATAAAAAAGAGCAACTTTGGTACAATAGGGTTACCCTACCAGTTAAAAGCTCCCTTTCCCTTGAAGGACGAATGAACCAAGGATGTGTCTCTGTGGGTTTTAGAAATAAAATGCTCTACTTTAAATAATTTTCTTTTTATTTATTTATTTATCTATTTTTATATATATATATATATATATATATATATATATATATATATATATATATATAACTAACAC